ATACCTATAAATATAAACGCTTGTTTGATCTTGTAGGATATTTGTAGGGGAATTTTCTTTAAGGATAATGACCATCATCATGCTTCAAGATTCCTAATCCTTACTGTGTTGCCACGATGTTAAAGATACTTGTGCATGATGCTGCCTCCATTGCCACTACTACTTTTGGTGTTCCTCCATTTTGAGGCTAATGGCATAGATTGTCGTTCCTACCATGCCATTGCTGCCTGCTTTCCCATTATGCTTATGCCTACCATCATCATGCCTCAAGCTTCCATTTCCTCATTGTTTTTCATGTCCCCTTACTTCTGTGCCAGTGCTGACTCACCACTTAAGATTGAAGATTAAATAAATACAAGGTACATATCTAAGCATATTTACGATGCAAACATGTCCCATATAATCCTAGCATAAGTGCAGCTTTTTTGGCCTAACCCGTGCTTCAATATTCATCCATTATCAACATTCAACAAGCAGCAAGAGTTTTAGAGAAGTGTTCAAAAAACAAAAAACATTTTCAACCCTTCATAGCTCACCACCCCCCGCTCCCCTTGCTTTCTTTGATTTTATGCTTCATATTCACTAAGTGTTAGACTGGAAGTAAACACCTAACAAGCTCAAAACAATGAGTTAATATCCCCCCCCCCAACCCAAAAAAAATGTACTTAGACAGATATCATCAACGTCACAACAATTTTGCTGTATGGTCACTAGAACCATGTAGCCAACTAAATGCAATGTATTTCCCAGCTCATCCCCAACCATCCATTGCAATGATCATAGATCACATGCATGTGATGATCAAAATTGTTCATTGCAACACCATGGGTCATGCTAACAATGACGAAACAAAGTATGCTCTCATCTACATAAACAATGGTCAATGGTTATCACAAAGAATTACTTGTTTGACTTCTAAGGTTATTATGATAACATTTCTCCTCGTCACAGGTGGGATTCTCGTGCCAGCTATGTTCTCTAGCAACAAAAGAGAGGACTTCCTTTTCATGCTATTCTACTCTCCATAGAATCTTTCACACGCTTTCAAGTTAATATAGCAATTCCAGTTTCATGAATCAAGAATTTGTTCTGTTCCTCTCAAGTATTCCATTCTCCTAATATAAAAGCCATGGACCCAAGTGCTAAAAGGAAGATTGGTCGAGGAAGAAGGGCTCGTTAAGTGACCAACTTCATACGAAGATTATGGCTTCAGAAACCATTGCAACAAGTTTTCTGCTCCCAGTCCTCCTTCCTCAAGGTAAATGTTTTCCGGTATATTAGTAATAAAATCTACACATAGCATAAAATATTTCCTGACTGAAAAACATCAAGTCCTGCACATTAATTAGATAACAAGGACTGTGGATCAATTTTAAAAGAAGAAGAAGAAGAATGACCAACCTCTTCTCCCAACGATTTGCACTAAAGAGAAGATGAATGGTATGATCATCCAATTGAGACCCGTTAGTAAGATAGGAAGATATCATTTGCCCAACATTCGTACTTCTGTCAGGAAACCTCCATAATTCAGCAGAGATCCCCTGTCCCTCCAAGTATGAAACTAATCTGCTACTTTGAGATGACTTTCCAGAACGATCCAAGCCTTCTAGGACGACCAAAGCACCTCTAGGTTCCACTCTTCTGTCTTCTATGTTATGACTAGAATTCGTTTCCATTCTTATCTTCCAAGGACAATACTTGTACGAGAATTTCTTTGAAAACTCAGTGACCTTCGCACAGCTAAAGATCCAAGATTCCTGTGCAACGAAATCCAGAATTATAAAAGCTGAAATACTAGGACATATATCCCTTGCTCAATTACTGAGAAGCAATAGAGCAGCACTGAAATTGAAACTAGATATCTTCGCATTTATTTATGGACAGCCAAGGAAGAGAACAAAAGAAAAGTTTTGCACCCATTTGACTGAACACTGATTCTGGGTTTGGATAATTCTCAAACACAACAGTGTGATAGACACTGGCAGGAGAGCCACGATCAAAAACTGATCTTCAGCAACTTCTATAGAGCAGCCCAAAAGAAATATCTTACAGTGCTTTAGAAACGATGGTATAAGATGAACAGGGCATACCCTCAGTAAGCCATTAAACTGGACTAAAATAAAACCAAAGAAATTAAAACGGTGATGATTGCGATCCAATCGGCTAAGAAGACAAGGGGAACAAAGCAGAGAAATGAAGAGCATTCGGTAAATGGGAGTAGTGTATACCTGCAGGGACAAACAATCGACATCAATATTGTGAGGAGCTGATCGGAATTTAGCGTTAACGCATAATAACCAAATCCCTGTGTTTCGCGCCTTGTCTTGAAATGAAAATTTCCCGCGATCGTTTAAAACGCTCTCAAGAACTCCCGCGATCAACAAATGGCAAAAGAATTAGGGCAACTAGCATTTAATCAAGTTGGGCTCTCCAGGCCTCAAAAAAGTTGGGCTCTTGCCCAAAAAAATTATGTCAGTTTTTTTAATAATATATATATAAAATAGAAATAAAATTGAAAAGTTATTTTATTAATTTTTTATTAAACAATTTAAAAATTTGTTAAATTTAATTTTTTAGTTTCAATAGAACATGTTGGAGTGACTTATAAATGAAATTTAAAAAAAGAGTAAAAATTTTGTTGATTATAAATATAAAATCTTAATTTATTTTTTCCAAAAAAAAACTTATGTTGTATTATTAAGTAAAACTAAACCGTACAACTACCATCCGCAAACAATCATACGACAACATGTAGAGTCAGTTTTTTTCTTTTTGCTGCGGGTACAAAATGAAAATACTTCTTCTATTAGGAATTCGAGTATTAATATACCACGTTGTAATGAACTAGTCTCTTCTACTAAATCGAACTCTCGTTTGTGTGATCTCAGCATTTTGCCATACAGGAAGAACCATCGATCCAAGTGGTTTACATGAGGTGATCGTTACGTTAAAAACTTGCTTCATCAAACTCAGCCCCGTGTGCGCCAAAATCGTTTTTTCCATTTGCAGTCATAGCACACTCTCTTGTGACAAGGGTGGACAAAGCTTCGTTCGCAGTAGATAATTAAGCATAGAGCCAAATATAATCCTCATTATAAGAGCTAGTTAACTAATTTGAGGAGATTAAGAAAAAAAGTTAAGTTAGTTATTTAACAAATAGGTATTGTCTTTCCTAAAATATCTTTACTGATTAATTATACTGGCTAGAACTATCATTGTTAAAAGAATTACTTTGAGAAAAAATACATAAATATGATAAATAAAGTGAATTATAATCTTATTTAGGATCAAAATAAAAATTAAACAAGGTCTTATATTATGAACCGGAGGAGATATATAAGCATGGCACCAACCAAAACTCCCCCCAAGCTTCTGCCCCAGCAAAACATCATCATTGATCAAGTTTCACATATTTCAGCCAACGCCTCACCTATTGAATTCACAATTTCTAATCTATACTCAATACTCAATAGCCTCACTCTCATCATCCAGCAGTAACTAGAGGTGATCATATTTGGAATCCCACGGTCAGAAAGTAAATAAAGCAATAGTGGCAATAAGATGAGCAAACATCAAAATAATAAGACCTCTAATGATAGCTTGCAATTCAATATTATGATGGCCAAATCCTGATATTTCACAAAATAAGAAAGTGGCCATATAGGTGGTAATCCTAAGATTTGCTGCACAAAGTGCCTAGTCCCTTTGTTGCTAAAGCTGCAACAACGTTTGCAACTTTCAAGCCCTCCATTAAAGTAAAAGAGGAAAAAAAATTTCTGGAAGACCACATCAATCTCCATGAAATCACAAATCATTTAACATTGATTCTCTTTATCTCAGGAATTTATAATATTTAATATTAAAGAGTTCTTTATCCTTCATATCAATGAAAATAGTTTATAATAAAAATAATTAAAGAGTTTAAGAAAAAATACATAGGGCTTGTTTGTTTTTGTTTTTTGTTTTCTCCTTCTCAAAATAATTTTATAAAATTGTTTCTTAGAACAAGTTTTGAAAACAAAAGGCAAAAGAATTTGTTTGGATAATAATTTTAAAAAATCATATTTGAAAAAAAAACCTACAAAAAACCACACTTGGTAAATTATAGTTATCAGTGGTAATGATATGTGATAGATAGTAGGTGAGAAAAGAAAAAAATTTCTCAAAATTTTAAAAATAAAAAATAAAAAAACATGTAAAAGTTGTTTTGGTTTTTTAGTTTTAAAAATATGTTACTATTTTTTGTTTTTGAAAACAATTAACTAAAAACAAATTACCAACAAGGTTTTTGGTTTTTCTATTTTTAAAAGCAAAAAATTGTTTTCAAAATAAGAAACCAAGCAAGCCCATAGTAATCAGAAATAGCTAATTTAACTATTTTTTATTTTAAAAAAAATTCTCATTAAGGAGGCCGATTAGAAATAGCGTTGGAGAATTAATTGAGTAGGATTGAAAGCAGTATGAGTATTTATGAGAACAGCATGATTGAGAATTGTAATTATGGTTTGATAATAAGTAAAAAGATTCGATATTAACAACTAGAGGGAGTGTTGGATTTGGCGAGAATATATATATACATATATATATATATATGTAGTATATTTTTTTAAAAAAAAAGGTGAAGTCGTGGACTCTCTCTGTATCTGTGCGTAATTTATCAATTTTAACTTTGTGCTTTTCCCTCATGTTTTATATACTTATACTCTTCTGGTTTTTAGCAGAGAATCTAATTTTTAAATTAGTTTTGATCCTAATATAAAAACTTATTTCTTATATTTATCTATTTTTTCTAAATTACCCTATAGATATTCCCTCAACCATAATCAAGTAGAAAAAGAGATGGGGTATTAAGAAAGATGATTATAGTGTTTTAGAAAAAAATGTGTCACTTTTCTTATAATTAACTAATTTATCTAACTTCCTTAATCTAATCAAATTAGTTAAATTAGTCTTATATTAAGGACCGAAGAAGTATATCGTAACTATATCAATATAAATATGAAATTCAACATCTCATGCACCTCCTTATGTTGATGGGAGAAAAAACCGTATCGTTTAAGTAAAACATAACCATTCAGTTAATTTAGATGTCGCCGATATTTTTTTTCAAAATGATTTGTTAAATTCCGGTAAATATAAATCTAGAATATCTGCATTGATTAGACGATCGGAATTGATGCAAAACACATTACATTATTCTCAGGTTAAAACTACAGAGAATCAAAATCCTGCAAATTTTTAGAGCGGCGGGGCGGGGGAGAGAGGAAGGGAAAAAAGAAAAAAGCTAAAGGTGCAGATAAAAGAATATAGTAGGTGTCATTTTTAGCAAGAACTGGAAAATAACGTAGCACCCACTCCACAAGTAGGAAAAGAAAGAAAAGAAAGATAAGAATGAATCATCGAATCTCATATGCTCTCTTGAAAGCTGGACCCTAGTTGTGAGAAGGTACACACACATCTCTATAGGATAGATCTGCATTAAGATATAAATTAAATAAGGTATCAAGATAAACCAGATTCTTTTCACATTTTTTCCTTAGCTACTGTTTGTTATGTGGGAAATGGAGGGGAGGAGAGAGGAAGAAAAAAATTAATGAGTTCTGTTTAAAAAATTGGAGAAATCAGATTTTGAAATTTTAATAAAGAGAAGAAGTAATATAAAAATAATAATAAAAATTAATTAAAATCTGTTAACCCCTTTTTTAATTTTTAAATCGAGCTTGTTAAAATTTCCCTCCTCTCCTCTCAATTTTTTCTTGTACCAAATGGACCCTTAATTTCATTCCCAATATGTCTTTAGTTTAAGCTTCTTCGCAAGTTCATTACAAGAAGTTTAATTTTTGCTGCTTTTGATGAAGCAGTCAGTGGAATCATTTGAGTGAACGTAAAACCAGGTCTAATGGCCTTGGAAATTAAAGGGCTATTCAAGAAGGATTTGACTTGCATGAGGTTCAATGAAATACTCCTCCGATCTTTAATATAGAACCTAATTCTTGAGTTGGTTTTGATTCTAAATATAAGACTCATTTCTCATATTTATCAGTTTTTTCTACATTACCCCTACGGATACTCTTCAACCATAATCAAGTAGAAGAAGGAGAGGGAATATTAAGAAAGATGATTATGGTATTTTAGGAAAAATGTGTCACTTTTCTTATAATTAACTAACTTACCTAACTTTTTAATCTAATCAAATTAGTTAAATAAATCTTATATTAATGATCGGAAGAGTACCACAATGTGAAGCTGTCAGAAAAATTGGTGCCCTGTTCCCTCACATACTAATTTTTGGGATTAGACTCTCTCAAACCTGTGTTCATAACATAGTCAATTATTTGTTTCAATAGCGGAGTATTAGGTATAGAGAGATCTTCTCTCAGGTTTGTTTCATGGAGAGAATATTTAACTTAATGTGAGGGACATGTCATTGTACACTCTAAAAGCTGGCAGGTCACCTTCGAACCTTTCAGAATCACGTACGTAACTCTCTCTCTCTAAAAAAAAAAGGCAGAATATATATAAGTGATATCGTGTCAGCCAAGAAAAGAAGTGAATGAAGTTGACACGAGAGGAGCAGGGAAGGCCAGGCATTGCATTGCTGAAAATTCCTTGAGGATAATGATATTCGGCAGTCTCGTGCTGCTCACGTGCATGCCCTGTGAGCTCTTTGCATCTCATCACTTTCTTCCTCTATAAATACTGCATCATATTTAGAGGTTTGGAAACATAACAGCTGATCAACCACAACAGATACACACAAGCTTTGAAACCATCCATATAATATAATCATCATGTCGGACAAGTGTGGCAACTGTGACTGTGTTGACAAGAGCCAGTGTGTGTAAGTACTGTTTCTTTGTTGGATATTCAAATTTAATGCATAGGTTTTTCAGTCCTAAGATCATTCTTAATTTCCATCGTCTGTTTTGATTCATCGTTTGTCCTTGTGTCTGCATGTCCAGGAACAAAGGCAACGGCTATGTTGCCGACATCATTGACCCTCAACCTGACAACCGGTAAGAACAACCTTAACTTTTTGTGGTTGTCTTATATATGCATATTTTATGCCCTCTCAAGCTTCAGGTTCAAGCTCCCCAATGTTATAAAAGCAAGTTTAATATTCTTATACTTGTTAAACATGATTAATCATAAAAACAATCGCCCACCATGGGGCTTGAACACGCGACCACAAGGTTAAGAGCCTTGCGTTCTACCGACTGAGCTAGACGGGCTTCACTCTTGGTGCCTTGTTCAGCTGAACTCACATGTATTTATGTACTGCCTTTAGTTATATATAGATATTAAGAAAATGAATTAAGTTTGTTATATTATATTTGGTTTATAAGGCCCTGACT